TGGATTGAACTTGACTCTGGATTTGGGCTTGAGCATTAGATTCAATACCCTGGATCTGCTGAAGGGCTTGGTTCCTAAATTGGCTCTCCATTGCTTGGACATACTGAGCAGTCTGGTTCCTAGCATTGGCTTCAACTTCAGAGGCGTATTGAATGGCTTGACCCTGCACTTCGGACACGACCTGGTGAGCCTGAGCTACTACCAGAGGGTTCAAATCCAAAAGATTGACTGATCTGGCATCTGTGAAATGAGACGACTGGTTGCTTTCGAACACAATCTGTCTTGCATCAATCTGACATTGCTGGTATTCAACATCCGTCCTTGCTGTTGGGTTTCCTTGATTACTTTGAACCATCGATGAGTGAGATGTTTCTGTCAGGGATGACAAACTCGTATCTTGGATAGGAGTTGCAATGGCTTCCCCAAACATGACAATCTGTTCACTCTCCGGTGAACCACGCGCACTTCCTCCTGATCCCTCCATCGCTTCTTTTCAAAGATCAAACGACGTCTACTCGGCTGCAATGAAATTCTCAACTGCCTCCTTCGTCCAGCCGTCGCTCAACCAATTGGCGTATGGATACGCAGATCCGCTGTCCAGGCTCCTCTTCCGTGAAAGCTTAATGTGAATCCCTGTTGCCCTGTCGGTGGCCAAAGTGGCTTCCAACTCAGATAGGATATCAGCACTGTCGTCGATCAAACAACAAGACAAGTGATCTCCCAACCGTTCGGCAAATCTCGAGATAACTGCAGCCTTCCCTGTCGGACCCTCCGGCTCGAACGTACAAATGATCCCGTCAAACAAGTGATGAATCCCTTCGCTGTTGCTCCAAATGTCCTTGCACGCTTGATAGCGCCCCGAACTCCCAATGAAAGAAAGAACGAAAACAAATGGAATACGCTCGTGATTCAATGCAAACTGTCTGAACTTCTCAATCGCCTCAATGTTCTCAACTTCCACGCGACCTGTCTGTCTGCAAGTATCGCTGCGATCCCTGTCAAGAACCTGATGGTGATCAACAAAAAGGACCTTAACTTGGCCAATGTCTGCAACTGCTCGCAAATGCACTTCCTGTGACTCCCAACGAGTATAGCGACCCTCCGCTGCCTCAAAGGTAAGGAAATGTACCGTGTCCGGCAGAACAATCGAGACTTGAACTGGCTCTGGCCTCCGCGGCGGTGCCTTTGCAAATGCCTTTGGCGTAAGGCCAATCACTGCAGGCGGTACCGAAACAGCGGGCTCAGGCCTAGGTGGCAGCGCCGAAGCAGCTAACCTATGCGCCTCCTCGAATCGAGCTCTGTACGTTTGAAGAACCTCCTCAACAATCGTCACCCGACTCTGTGCGCAAAAGTTAAAAGACGTAGCACCGTTCAGCAAATGCGGATGTGTCAACGCAAAATGCCCCTCAGCCACGCCCTGGCGAATGAACGCCCTCTTCTGTGCTCGGCCGCTCTTTCCAGAGCGAGGGAACCTCAGAAGCTTGTGGAGCTCCTCGTACTCGGGATGCTCCGGATCAGAATAACCCCCTTCAGGCGGGGGCGGACCAGCGGGTTCAGTCGGACGACGTGAACCAGAGGAAGATGCGATGGCTGCAACGACGGCCAACAACCGATCGCAAAGCGATACGGCTGATAACCAAAAGAACACAGCAGCCGCCCCTTTTTCCCACAATCTTGAGCCAAACATGTCCGGTAAAGTGAAACGTCAATGACTGGATCATGTGAAGGCTACACTCATTAAGATTCCTATGACTTGCATGTCATGTGAAACTCAATTCAACAGTGCTTGGTGACACATCGAATGCGAATCTTGCCTGCAGAGATGCTTTGCTTTGGTTGTTCAAGGACTGCTTCAAGGACTGCTTCCCCTGGCGTGCCAGATGCATCGACCAGGGTGCTTTACTAGTGGATTAGGGGTGGTGGTTTCACCCCATGTCTCTCTCCTCATATCAACTATATCTAATCCTAGCGCAGCAGGCCCAGCAGCGCGACGCAACCAACCACAGTGGTCCGACAGGCGTTGACCCCTCTTAGGTACGCAACCACCGATTCGGACCGGCAAAGGGCCAAGCTTCTGGACCTCTGCCATATGCAAGAGGGGTTGGGTCGAATCGGCTTGCCAAAAAAGATCTGGAGAAGCATGCCACCGGCTTTAAGGGGCCTCAATGTTCCGTTGACGTGAGCGCGAAATCATGTGACATCTGAACGTCAAGATCATCGGGATCCCTAATCTTTGACCAACTGGTGTAGCTTGCAGTGCACATGCGATATGTGAAAAATGCATCTCTTGCCTGGTGGATAGCAACCAGGCTTCTGCGAAGGCAGCAGCCCCAAACCCATTGGCAAGCAAAGCCTCACTTTGATGGTCTCCCAAAGCCTGACTTTGGCGGCTTCCAATTCTGAGCATCACATCACTGAATTGAAACCAAAGCCCTGCTCAGCCAACTTGAAACCAAGGTGATCGGACTAAGAAAGTCTTTGTTCACTTAGGCGTCGATCACTTCGGACGCGGACGACGTAGCATTCTTGCTACTAGTAGCCATGCACCTTGCTACTGGTGACTTCTTGCTCCTAGTAGTAATGCCAGGAGCTACGTTCGTAGCATTCTTGCTACTAGTCATTCCCATCTCAAAGAAATCGGCCCAAGGTACGCCGCGTCGTCCCCGCAATCCAAGGAAGCGCCATCGACGACGTCGAAGGCACGCGGATCTCCCCGGAGGAAGCCATCGAGTGTTTCGCCGTCGCAGCGTTGGAAGCCCGATGCTCCAAGGTCCCCAATTCTTGGGGAGAAGAACATGATGTTGTTTCTACACTCCCAAGTTCCCCGGCTCCCAAGCCCAAAGAATTTGGAGGTCATCTGCACGGCACACAAATGTCCAGCAGTTTTGATTAAATCGGCATCTTCAAGATCGAGGATTGGTACTACACTACTTGCCGCTACGTGCTGCTCCTTGCAGTTCAGGCGCGGTGATTTTAGGCATCTCATGACCAGTCCTGCCAAGTGAACCAACACAACTTCTGTGGCCCAGTAGCTGCCCCGCAACTGCCCTTTCCCAAATTGGAGCTACTTTGCTGTCGGTGACAAAGAGAATCGCCGGCACCATTCCTACTACATTCCATCCTGCATCGTTCCAGAGTATTGAGTCAAGGCCTCTTCAAAAGAATAAGTGGCCGAGAGCCACACTTGCATGTATCAAGAGGGAAGTTCTGTGCTTTGATCGGCGCGAGTCTCTCCCTCACTGCGTTCAAATCCAGCAAGCAAATTTGTTTTGCCCAGTTGTCCATCTGCTTTCAGGTTGCCAGTGATGGCAGCGATGACTTGTGACCCGCAACGTGTGACCCGAAATGGAGGGGCCACGGTTTCACCCGGGTCACATTTTGCGCAGCCGGCGCTCCGAAGCGGGCGCTTGCTCTGCTAGCTCTTCTGTCTGGCCTTTTGGATCGCGAAGGCGACACAAAAAAGAAGAAGGAAACTCATTGTCTCAGAAAGAGACACCAACACTTTGGGGATCTTGAACATGTGTGGGGACGGTGATAAGGTCTTGTTAGACAGTGACGAGGTCCAAATCGGGCCAGCCTTGTCTGGCCTTGCCAGCCTTGTTGCAACTGCTGTGTGTCTGCACGGCACTATCGAGGAATGAAAGAACAACCAGCAGATGCAAGAAAGTCTGCAATCAGTTCGTCCACATTGCAAGCCAGCGATGTGGCCGATGAAGCGTGTAGTTGGTTGCAACAATGCGTCGAACACATATTATGATGCATACACACACAACATCACTAACTACGCCAAATCGCCGAGCTCAAGTCTGTGCACAGAAAGCCCTTTGCTTCGCGCCGAGCCGCTGTGTGACATCGGCCGACTGGGCGAGTGAATTTGAACCTGTTGATGGCTGCATTCACCGGAAGGGATCGAGGCTGCACAGCGGAACGACGGCGCCGTGGGTTTGTGAGTCACGGGCTGCCCGCCAGGAGAATTCACCGCTGGAAACTGCTTAATTTAGCAGCTGCTGCACAAGACATCGCTTCTATGAGTCGTTGGGGCAAAGCCTTTGGAGGGATAGTTTCTGGCCAAGCAAAAATGGTACCACAGAGTATATTGGGAAGGCGCCAACCTCAGTCATGGCATGTAATGGCATCTGTGGCCCTAAGAACACTTCAACACCTCTTTGGAACCCAAATGCCCAAAATGCATAACCAGTGATTCGGACGCCCCAGGACGAGTTCCTTAAGAGTTTTCGCCTCACGTTCTGCCTTGTGACTTGTGTAGACATTCTGCGTTGTAGCAGGGGAGGAGGTGCCTCGGCGCTTGGAGCGCTTGAGGACTTGCCTTCGCCGGCCGGGTCTCAGGATCTCTGGAGAGGAGCCCTCGTCCTTCAGCGACCGGAACAGGTGGAGGCGTGAGTGTTGTCAGCCTCCAAGGCAAGTTGGCAGCATTGTACGACCCACACTCGGAAGCTTTGGGTCCGTACTTGCTTCGTATGGGTCGAGTGATCAGCGCTCTGAGCACCTTGGGACAGGCTGCGCCGGATGGAGCGTTATAGAGGTTGTCACTCGCAAAGCTGATGATCGAGGTCTATGCGGAGTTCGGAGAGTTGGACCGGCCCAAGGCAGTCCGGTATCTCCGTGAGAAGTTCATGGCCTTGACCGTTGACGAGGCTATGGAGCCGCAAGAGAAGGAAGGAACGATCATCGCTCTCGGAGAGTTGACCCAACAGCTGGGTGGTAAGCCTCCTTCGGCCGAGAGCAAAGGGTCTGGTCCCGACGCTCGCGGTCCGGCCGGACGCGGTGTCGTGAGCACCATGAAGTCCGCAGAAGGTGGGCAAGCCCGCCGGCCCGTCAGCGCGATCGGCCGCTGCGCTTGAAGAGCAGACTCGAGTCTTGAAAGAGGCCTTGTCGTCTCGTGGGCCATCTTCAACCGTGACCGCGGCGAAAACTGACTTGAGTTGGCCATGGTTGGAGACGAGAGAGCTGACGCGAAGGATGTCGCGCTCTTTTATGAGGAATTTGAAGATGTTTGCGCGCTGGCCAATTCCTGCAAAGGGATGTCGGCTAGAGAAAATTGGTGGCGCTCCGAGCTCGCTGCAAGGGCTCGCGTCTCAAGACGTTCCAGAACCTGTACCGTGCGGCGTGGCAGTCGGGAGAGGTGCTGGAAGACCCAGAAGCGGTTTATGAGCGGATCAAGTCCAAGCATCTGGTCTTCAGCGAGTCCCGCGAAGAACGTGGGGAGCATGTGGCGCTCGTCAAGGGCCGTTTGACTGGTCACCAGTTCGAGTCAGTGGGGCTGTAGGAAAGACGCCTAGGGAGCTCTTCCTTTCGTACCTGAGGAAGGTCGGCCCTTCACTAACGAGAGATCTGCGCTGACCAGAGTTGGATCCAAAGCCTGGCCTAAGAAAGAGCCGAAACCGAATCCCAAGAAGGACCTGAAACCAATGTCGGGGTGACTGCAGGGGATCCTCGCAAGGACAAGATCTGCTGGGACTTCCGAGACACGGCAGCTGCCGGAAAGGCAGAGATTGCCCGTTCTTGCGTGACAAGGAGTTGCGGAAGTGAGAACTTGAGAAAAAAGGGGTTGGCAAGGGCAAGTCCCAAGGCTCGGAATCCTACTATCCTGCCAAAGGAGGTGGAAAAGGCAAGGAGGCAAGGGCGCCGCCAAGAAAGGAGGCGGCAAGGGCAAGCCCAAAGAAGGGAAGCAGTGCCCGTTCTTCGCTAAGAAGGGTTTCTGCAAGAAAGGAGCCAAGTGCGACATAAGGTAGCTATCAAAGTTGCGGCTCCCCAAACCGTTTGATAGGTTGGCAGGGGTTTGAGCTTACAGATATGTTTTTAATTTTGACGGTTGAAAAAATTCTTTGATAGGTATATTACCTGGATCTTAGTGATTCTAATCTTTGGGGGCAGAAGTTCCCCGTGGCACCTTGTTTGGGGTTTTGCTTGATGTTTTGAATCCTGGCTCAGAAAGTTTGGGTGTTGAGCAAGCAGGCATGAAAAGCGTGTGCGAATGTTTTCACCTTTTAGCGCCTGGGACACAAGGAGTTTCACCTGTTTAAACATGTCATTGCTTCGACATAGGAACATGATTATGATTTTCAAGTTTTAACCTGGCCATTTCATTTTCCAACAAACAACATTGACAGGATAAGTGTAGGGCTAATTTGAACAACCACAAGTAAAACCCAATATTTACTGTTCAAACATTCTCGATGGAGCCATTTGTTTTACAACCTGCTGCTGGGCAGCTGGGCTATGTGGAGAGAAGGGCAGCCAAAGAAAGCAAAAGGGTCTTTCCTTGCTACCTCCACTTGTGCAAGGCCAATGGCTCGCGTGCGACCGATGGATGGCACTAATGGCCTCTGTGAAATGTTCAGGCTGTACCCAAGATTTGGGTGCCAATGCTAGCCTCACACAGCCAACTGGGGGTAAGAATTCTGAGAAGTACATTCTTTGGTATAGTTCGTTTTTTCCCAACCCGTGGCAATCTCTTCAGATGATTTGCCAGGGAAGCAGATGCATCCTGTGCTCGAGATGTGTGATTCCATTGCAGCTTTGACGGTCAACAAAGCTGGGACATGGGTAGCCGAACTGGACCCTTCCAGTCCTTGCCGCATGGTGGCTAGGGTGGAGGCTTCATCATCCTCTGGAAACCAACGTTTTGGCAGCAGGGAAGAGTATTAAGCCCGAGGTGCCAACTGGGGAGACCCAAGATCCGAGAGATCGCCCTTGCAAGACATTTTGTTTGCAAACATGGCCTTTTTTTGGCAGAATTTCACCGAAACGAAACATATCCTGTTATGGTGCGCGAAGATTTTGGACCCAGATTCCTCCAAGCTGGGTGGGGAGTTGCCTGCTGTGCCTGGCTGAGAGGGCCTCAGAAGATCACCGATCAAATTGGACCTTTTTCTCATGCTCTGCAGGCGAACTTTTCACAGTCCAAACATGCCAGAGTTCCATGTCCACAAGTATCTCAGCAGCGATGCTCCACCTCAGGCTCACTCGAACATTTTTTTGCACGATAGAAGATGCGGTCTACCAACCTGTGGGCTTCAGAGCTTCATCCAGTGGCACCTCCTTCGATGCTTTCACCTCTGGCTTTGAAGTAGAAAGACTTCTAAGAAGAAGTGTGCCTGCCTTGACCCTTGGAAAGGGGCAAACATCCACGGCTCACAAGGCAATGCTTCATTGTGCTTGCCTGGAATATGGTCAGGAACACCTCCGGCTGTTTAGACAGCAAGTTGTTGCTTTTCTGTCAGATCAAGGTGGGTATCAGTACAAGACTGTGACCAAAGTCTCCGGGACCCTGGTTGAGACCATGCTCGATGGTTGCGCTGGAAGCAACCACGTGACTGGTGAGCACGCTGAGCAGCTCGAGCGCTGGGTATCCGGAGTTCGTTCATGGCAAAGCCAGTGGAGCACCAGTGCCTCTGAAGGAGGCTGCAGTCCTTCGCGTCCGGATGATAGGGACCGAGGTCGGCCAGTGCAAAGGTCCAGAGCTGTTTGTCCGCTGCAAAATAGACGCGCGAAGGCTCAAGTGACTGGCATGGCCTCATCCGCGGCGGTCGGGCTCTCGATTGCGAGGCTTGACGCGGGTTAGGTTTTCCTCCAGAACCTAACGCCCACATCCTTGACTAAGGGTGTCTCTAGGCCAGCACCAGGCTGGGACTGAGGCGGGATGTCCACGCAGGGCTCCAGTCCAGGGAAAGGCCTGCCGGTTTATTAGAGTCCGAAGATTCCCTCCCATGGCTGATGGCTCCAGAACAGAAGGCCGTCCACTCGCAGGTCTTCCATGAATCCGCGCAGCAGCCCAGGTAGGTGGCCACAGGCAGGTCTTGCTGAGCAACTGGCCGAAAGCAAGTTGAGCTACCGTTTCACCCTGCGGTGTCCCAGGCGCCGCCCTAGGCAGGGGTCGGCGGATAAAGACAATAAAAGCAGCGCAAAGCAACCCGTATGGATCACTTCTAGGCTTATAGGTATAATTCTTGGAAGGACGCCGTGCGTCAGTCCTGCCAATGTTATGTCTTCCACGCCGGATGTCCAAGATCACATTCGGGATGTGCATGAAACACCCACTTTGTGCCACCTTCTTCGCATAGCTCACACCGCAGCCTAGGCCAGGGCCTGAACGGAAATGCGGAGATGGTCTGCGTCGGCAGGAGTCGGAGATGGAGGGGTCCCAGGACCCGACAACGAGGAGTCTGCATTCCGTCCATGCAGGGGCGTTCGGAGGAAGTGAGGGTCCGGCCTGAAGGAGTCGGAGAGGAGAAAGAACTCATGAATCTGATGTTGGACTGGAGGGGATCAGCGAATGACTTCGAAGGTTTTACTTGCCAAACCTTCGGGGTTTCGGGGTGCGGAGTGCCACCTTTGAGAGGCCCACCCGGTTCCGGAACGCACGCCTTCGGGGCTCACCCTCACCCGTTTCAGGCGGCGGAATTCAACGGAAGGCCTGTTTTTGTTGGGAAGAAGAGGCAACTGCAGCACTGCAGACCCTGAATGCCACAGCACTGTTGACTGTTGATGGAATCCACCACAATGGTTTTGCACCCCCGGGCTTGATCATGTTTGATCAACAGTCCACGGCTCGTCCTTCTATTTCTTTTTCGCTTCCGTTTGGCCCATGCCCTTGGGACACCGGTCACACCGACACTGGGACACCGGTCGTTCACCCTGACGAAAAAAAGACAGCACTCTGAGCGCTCTGATGGATTGGATTTTATTGGGGGATCATTCGGGGAATAAAGGGGACAGCTCTAGATGGTGGTCCCAGGAAGGTCCTCCTCGAGCGAGCCGAGGCGCTCTTCTCCATAGAAGTGCGCCATGACCTCCAGGCCTCTGCGAGTCTTCCGGCTGCCTTGCACCAGGCCTGCCATGCCCCGAACGTCAGTTCAGCAGGGCGAGGGACACGTCCCGCCTCGATCGCCTCGATCAAGGTGACTCCCTCGGGCTCTCCTGCTACCTCACGACTCATCCAGCACGCCCGCGGTCTCCTCAACGCACGCCGCGCCGTGGGGCGAGCGCTCCCACCAGCCGCGGTCCTTACGCTTTCAAAAGCGTTTCCCAGAACAGCCCCCACTTGTGAGCGCACGTACGAACGAGCGAACGCACGCGCAGCTGTTTACGCTCACAAGGACGAGCGGACGCGTCGCAGGTGAGACAGCACGCTACGCCTAGCTACGTGCCACTTGAGCCAAAAACGAGGTGAACTCTGTACACCTACGCAGCTCCTACAGCTACACATGCAAATGAAACAGTAAGAACATGAACCATGGCCCGCCTAGCAGACATCACATACTACTACCACCACCACTGCCTACTACTACTACTACTACTACTACTACTCCTACTCCTACTCCTACTCCTACTCCTACTACTGCTGCTACTACTACTACTACTGCTACTACTGCTACTACTACTGCTACTAATGCTACTGCTACTGCTACTACTACTACTGCTACTCCTACTCCTACTCCTACTACTACTACT